CTATTGTGAAACAGTATTGATGGTTCACTGGCGTTAGATGCAACTGTTTATGCTGTGAATGGTTTCCATGACTACAACCATCTTCACATCCTCAAGCAAAGTAGGAGGCTGTGAACATGGAAATAGGCTGCGTAAGACCACTATTTGACACCTATTCCTGAGCTGTACTTCTGGCCAACTGTTCCTGTGAATGTCCGACCACTGACCTGGTATCTACACGGGGCCCCAGTTGCCGTGGCAACAGCCATCTGTGCATATTGGCTGATTGGCCTCTTGTATCCCACGGCTGAGAGAGGCCTTCTCTTGACCTGAGTGGGTGCACTGGGATAAAGACATGGGAAAAGAAGGATTAAGATTCAGTTTAATACATTCGGTTTAGCAGTTAAGACGCGAGCTTCTGGAACCTCAAGTGCCCCATATATGGTCATCTGATCGACCCCCACCAGACAAATCTGCCCTGTTATCTCCCCTGTGCCATCTTCCACTCAGCTTTCCAAACTGTCTCAGCAGGACAAATACCAATGGTGCTTGGTTCTCCTTTATATAAAGATATCTGTTTCTTGGAAAGGAAGAATGCATAAATTATCTATATCATGTCAGGTTCAGATTGCTATACAGTCCCTCTGTGTTCAATTAAAAAGGTTCTGACTGTGGCGACACCTAGTGGTTGTACCAGAATAGACACTAGGGGCTGACTAAGGCAAACATTTAGGCCAGTAGAGCAATCTCCAACACGCTATAATCACAATTATTAACAAAAGTAAACTGTATCATCAACCTATAACTTTTTTTGAAGGTCATTTGTGTTTAAAATACTGTAGTAGTAGTAGTAGCCTACCTAATACAGTTATACTTCTGTTACTGATTTCCTACATTTCCCAGAATGCTGACTGCCCTTAGAGAAGGAATGTGCAAGTTCATTCAGGTGTAATATATGGTGGTCAAAAGACCCAAAATAGGAGTGGAAGAGTTAATGATTTGCCAGCTTTAAACTTGTCATCTTAGTTAAAAATGTACACAACATATACCTTACTGCTGCATTGCATTATGGTCTAATTAGGTAATGCACTGGCATGTCAGCTGCTTTGGTGACAGATTTCACCCAGTAGTATATCTGTTTACTGACTGTTACTATTTTACAATTTGTTTTGGAGGGTTTTTCTTTCTCTACTGTACCAATTACGGTAGCTTTTGTCAGCAATGAAATGAATCCACTGACCTCTCTGGAAGGACCGGTTGGAGTCTCCATTGATCCTCCTCACTGTCAAAGTGCAGCCTGTTCATGATCTTATTCTTTTCCTCTGGAGGTATAAAATTCTCAATCAAGAGATATCTGAAATATGAAATGTGTCAGTATGTGTCAGCAGGAAGCATTTCACCTACAATCAAATAAATAAACTTCTCTGCGGAGCACAATACACTTTTTGCCCTTTTGATATTATTATACAGAAATAAAGGTACTCCAATATTCCAGTACCAGCTCAGATATTTTGACAATGTCATCCCTTTGCCAACTAAACAAACTGCTTACAAAGCAGCAAAAAGCCTGTTTTCACTGCCCAGTTTACATCCTGACTGACCCCTCTCTAATATCCAGATGGATCTGGAAAAACATCTGATTAAGAACAAAATGCTCTCATTGATTTATCTCTTGACATCATATAGATACGCAGTCTGAGAGCTTCAAGACATGTGAAGTGAAGTGCGTTATTTGCGTATTTTTAATCCTAACATAAAGGAGCATAATTTCAAACTGCGTTATATCCTTTAAGTTTTAGATTTTGATTTGCACAATGAGAATAGTGCCATATTTCACAATAACACAGCAGTTTGCACTAAATGAATATCTCCAATCAGTTTCAAATGTATTATAAACATTTATGCAAATACTCAACACAGCTTTTACTGCATTTCATCAATTAGAAAATTCTAGTAGTAGTAGGAGTCCTGCCATGACAAAACAATGTATTTAGTTAACTCTTCATTCTAAACAGACAACAACAAACATGTGTTTTATGCGTGGCACTGATAGAAAACCATGGTGGAGGTGAGCAACCAAAGACAAATGACATTGCACACAAACTGTATACAGTATGTTCACATTCACTAACGCGGCTACTCACTTGTACTTGAGCTCTCTGGTGAGTTCATTCTGTGTCTGTTCAAGCTCCTGTCTGGTTGTGACGTGTTCAGAAATGACATCTCTCATCTCAGCCTTCACCAACTGTAGTTTGGAATACAACTGAAGAGAGCAGAAACATATCAATTACTGGTGTCACTACAGCTGTACTAGACAAGGTGTTTGTATAAAGTACCCACCAAGGAAAAGCCTTTAATTGGCCCAATTTGCTAACCAAACAAAACAGAGAAACTTAATTATCCCTAAACACCAGGAAGTAAGAGATCTGTCCAGACAAAAAAAAAAAAAACCCAGACTCATCAGTGTTACCTCCCCTAGTGACGTCTCTCTTGAAAAAATAATTATTAATGGCAAATGAGATTTAATTATGATTGCTTGCTTTCGTGATAGTGGCATAATGGGACACATCAGCAGATGAGTCACCTTACCCTCTTCAGCTTCTTTGTCTTAAGTTCCACCTCCTGCTGCAGGGAGGAGAAGGTGTCCCTCATCTCCAAGGTCTCCTCATCCTGCAGCATCATCTGCTGCTGGATCTCTCTCTCCCGCCTTATCTGCCAACCACACCGAACATTAAGCTCCATTAAAGATGAATACAAACAGTACACCCTTAAAAATAAAGGGTTTCAGAACGTGTGTGAGTTCAGACAACCCACAATTATACTTCTATTACCACGGATGGTAAAGTAACACAAAAGTATGTTTTATAAGGAGTAATGCTGGGAAACAAACATCAAAAAGCATGAATTTCATTGTTTTTTTAACATACCTGTTCTGCAATTTCCTGCCTCTTCAGCTCCAGCATTTTCTGCTGTTCATTGGTGTGATCAATTATAGTCTTCCCTCCAACCAACAGTTTGCTCTCCATAGCCTGCGAACAAAGACATACAATTAATTATTTATGTAAATTTCTTTTGTGTCTCATTTACCAGACACTGTACTCTATAATAACAAGGCACGTTGGCCCTTCACAAGTACCTTGTATTTCTCAATGATCTTCTCCAAAGCATCTTGATCCCACTGCATGTCCTCTACGCTTTTTCTGTTTTCACTCAGGTGCTTTAACTTCTCACTGCCTCCCTGGCAGGTCAGAATCTTGGGGATCTCACTTCCCTCTTTCATGTAATGTTTCACCTCTTGTTCCTCCTCGAAAGCCTTCCACATATCTGCATCCTTCTCTCTGAACATCTCCTCCTCCATGCCGACCATACTTTTACTGAGTCTTTTGCTGTTCCTTCTCATCCTCCTCCTCTCCTTTGCGAGCATCCCTCGCTCCTCCAGCTGCGCTTTCAAGCGTGCAATCTCCTGCTGAAACTCCCTCAGCAGGGCATCTTTGGGGTCCTCATTAATCCGAGGTTTGTTCTTTATGTTCTTGGCCCTGCTGGCGTACCTCAGCGTGGCCAGGGATTCATCAAAGTTCTTGTGCGATGGCCCCACCGTTGCAATCATGACAGTCTTTGCATTGCCACCCAGCGAGTCCTGGAGCAGGCGGGTCAGTTTGGAGTCCCTGTACGGGATGTGGGTGCTCTTCCCATCCACAAGAGCTGAAATTACATTCCCCAGTGCCGAGAGGGACAGGTTGATCTTGGCTGCCTCCTTCAGTCGCCTCCCTTTAGCGCCTGTCTTGCTCTGGCGCTCGCTGCCAGCCAGGTCAACCATGTTCAGCTTCCCAACGCGGATGTGGTCCTCGCCATCTGGCCCTACTTCACTACACTCCACGGTTATGAGAAAGATGGCATGAGACCGAGAGCTGCGTTCATTCATGTTGGTGAAGCCCACAGACCTGGATTGGTTTCCTATGTTCATCACATGTTCAATCTCATTGGCGTTCTTTGTGACCACTGAAGACAGGTCTTTCACATAAATACCAAAGTCGGGACTCTCTTTAAGCTCCAGTTTCTTGTTGTTGTCTTTGCACAGCAGATCTCTGATTTCCTCCTGGTAGATCTCAAGGTACGATGACCTCACCAAGTATTTCTGATTCTGAGTCCTGGATATTTGTGTAAAAATGTGCTGAAATGAATTTGGTATAACCCCTCTCATGTCTGGGTCGTTTGTAACCCCTTCCATGGTGTGTGTTTTACCTGTCCCAGTTTGGCCGTAGGCAAATATGGTCCCGTTGAAGCCCTGGAGCACAGACTCCACCAGAGGTCTGACTGCATCGTCATAAATGTCGCTCTGTTTTGAATCCCAGCCATACACAGAATCAAACGTGAATACTTTCATTGGATCATCAGGTGGTGCCTTCGGGTTCCTGATGGTGATCTGCCCCAGTTTGTCATCAATCCCCAAAATGTTTTCACACCCAGCTGTCACCTCTCTCCTGCTGAATGGCCGGCAGCGGACCACCACCCTGATCGCCTCGCAATGTTTGGTTTTGGACATTTTTTTTTTTTTTTTGGTAAAAGATTAAAAACACCACGTTAAAAAAAAAGCCATAATCTCGGGCGGGGTACGCAGTTTTTCCCCCCTTTCTCCGTGCAGGTGCAGCAGCTTCTGTATGGTGATAAAGCGGTCAGACAAGACAGACACACCTCATGTGCGCAGCTTCCATCATCCCAGTGAACGCAGCGTCTCCTCCGCCCTGAGCATCTTTCAGAAAAGGAAGCGATGTCACAAGATATTAAAGGATGCTGCCGGAGAAAAACACACAGCCAGCCCAGCCCAGCCCACACAGCCACCCCGCGGTACACACCCTGCTCTGCGGACAATGGAAATAAGACATGTGACCTGCGCAAAGAACTGGATTGGACCAAATCTTCTCATGGTACACGGCTATGGTCTAATTCTGTAAGAGTGATAAATTACCTTCCAGCCAGTACTTGAACGCACCTTGAGGGAGCAAAACACACACAAAAAAAGGTTTTGATTCAATAACAAAATTTTATTCAGGCTTCACATTTACACCATTGCTCAAACCAGGCCCCACAGTCTTTAATGTACAAAAGAAAAAAAGAAAAGACACAGTGGTAGACATTCATCAGTAATGAAGAATTCATTTGCCAGCTGGAAAATACTTAAATTGTTCTGTCTCTACAGTATCTTTACATCCGCAATGAGTGAATAATTAGCCTCCATCTACCCTTCAATCTATACATTATCAGGTAAATCAATAATGTTAAAGTACAAAAAAACCCAACATCCATTTCTGCTGACCTCATGCACGCAGTTGCTAGGTTATTAGGTGCACCTAGTTATTCAACATTTCTATTTTTCTTTTATTTATGTATTATTTACGTACCAATTTACTGTATGGAAGTGGTATTTCCCTTATGGTTTGTGATGCCTAGCAATAATTTGTTTATCTTATTTTCGTACTATTGTGATTGTATAACATATGTGAAATCAATAGAAATATTTGAATAATTAGGTACACCTCGCTAAAACTAATTCCGTCTAATATAAAAGTTCTCCAATGAGGTTTTGACATAAACTGCATATTATAATCTTTATGAAAGTAGATCACCAATACTGTTGTATTAGACAGCATTAGTTTTAGCACTGTGCACCAAATAAACTGTCAACTGAGCGCATTTTCAGTAGGTTTGCCCTCACTCATGATATAAATGTTAGGCACATTCTTGCGGTAGGCTGGAGTTCTGTTATAAGCTACTGGCACACATGGTGGGTCGGTCACTTGTGAAATTTCTTGCTAGAATCTTTTGCATGATCCAGTAGGAGCTGGCATGGTGTGAACTGATTCCCGTAGACGGCTTCAAACCGCCTCATCTTCTCCACCAGCTTGTCTGCACCGAGGGTGTCCACGAAACGGAAAGGTCCTGAAAGCGGCAAGATATTATGTTAGAAATATTATCATAGGGATAGGTGTTAAATGGATAATATGGATATTGTTCTTGTTGCACTTGTTTTTATTCCTTTATGAAGAGCTATTCTGTAAACACCAGAGGGGTGTTTCATAAAGCCAGATTACAAGTTAAACCAGGTTTGTTTCAGTAAATCAGGCTTACTTTTGATAAGTTACCATGGAAACGTATTCTTCCAGACTAGCCTGTGAGGTTAGTTTTCAGGCTAAGCTTCAGCTCAGGATTAACTGGTGTTACAATAAATCTGGTAGACTGAAACAGCATTTACTGCTGCTCTGTGAACATTAATGTCAAATTTAACACATTGTTGACATAAAAGTTACACTTATAGAGCTCCTTTTTTCAGTCTAAAGTATCTTCACAGTATTTCAGTCAAGGTATGTATTTTATGCACTACAAAAAAGCTAATAAGTAATATAGTAAGAACTTAATTTGTTCAGTTTAAAAGTAACTTTTTTTTCACCCTATGGAGGCTCTTATGTCACATGTACAAACCAAGTAACATAATTCAATTGATATTGGTCAACTTTCATTTTTAGATAAAAATGAAAGTTGACCAATATCAATAATTATTTATAAATTTTATAAATCTAAATGCTAAAATATAAATGATCTGTCTGATGTCATACAGGGTACTTACGGGGTAGATATTTTTTAAGGTAATCTTTTACCACATATGATGCAAAGAAAATTTACATTTTGCACACAGGACCCACACAACTTGTGTAAAAACTTATTTTTGGCTTTCTTAAATGCAATGGTTTTGTTCATTTTCATCTTAAAATTCTGTGTTACTACAATTCCTGATGTGAAACATAGATCAATTCAGGGTGATTTGGCTCTTTTCACTGATACAGCCTCCGAGCACAAGCGGCTCAGATGGCGATGACTAAGGTTGAACTCTGACCTCCAAGGCAGGGAGGGAATCCCAGGCCAAACACAGCCCCAATGTCTCCTTCCAAAGGACCGTTCAAAATGCCCTCTTGCAAACACAGCACAGCCTCATTGACGAATCTGGAAACTAGTCTGTACTGCACATCGGAGTCTGATGAGCTGCAAAAAGATTCATACATGAGTATTTCATTAGTGAAACAAATTAATATTAGTAAAATCTCATGTAATATCAAGACTCCAAAGGTTATTTTTGTCTACAATTAAAGAAAATTAATTCCAGTTCTTTAAGTAATAAATAGCACAATTTGTCCATATCAACAGCATGTAATGTAGTAATTTAGAAAAGACAAGATGCATAGAGTTTGCTGCTTCTGCAATTACCCGACATCGACTTACACGGCAGGATTTGGTGTCATCTTGTATTTCTCAAGGATTTCGCCAATCTCTGGGTTGACCTCTTTAACCTTAAGCCCTGGCTGGTAGACGTAGCAACCCTTTCCTGATTTGCGACCTGGAGAATAATAATAATAATAATAATAATTTATAAAAGGATCAATACATTTTAATAAAGCATATAGGCATAAATTAAAGCTGGACACAATGTTGGTCTCGGTCAACAGGTACCCTTGAATCCCAGGTCCACCATGGTCTTCAGGACCTCCACATTTCCTCCACCAAAGCGGGAGCCGAAAGCCTTGCCAAGGTCCTCTGCGACGTGAGCGGCGACGTCAATTCCAACTTCATCAGCCAGTGTCGCTGCACCCACAGGGAACCCAAAGCCTGTGGTGAGTGCATCTAACTTCTTGGGGTCAGTTCCTTCCTGTAAGTCCAAATGGATAATTTAATAATACTTATAACAGCTCTGCTGGAATAATGAATAGGTTTTGTTCAAGTGAGTTGTCCATTTTAGGTCCTAAATCCTCCACTGACCACTACAGTACATGAATACTGTATGAGTTCATAGCTGCATTTCCTACTGAAGTAATACTGCTAACCTGAAGTACTCGTACTGCTTCAGCCAACATGGGAGCCAGACACCTTGTTGTATAGAATCCAGGTCCATCCTGCAAAGAAATGTGTGTAATATTTCACTGAAGAGTAATAATGTTCTAATTATTAACATCCATCATCATCAGAATAAAAACAAAAACTCCTTAATCTGGCTCACACAGCTACACACAAACAAAAATGTAGAAGTAGCAAACGAATACACACAGTTAAAGAAAAATAAATATATTAAGAGAGTTAAGAGCAGGTTGACTCTTGTGATATGACAAACATATCAGAAAAATTAACCATTGAACATACATCAGCATGATAAGAACTACTTAAAATGACAAAAATAAGGGAAAATGTATTTGACGTGTGCTTTGACTTTTTAGTGTGTCCCATCAGATGACATGTAGGGGGCGAGGTTTATGAGCTACGCACCTTGTGAGGTTTTGTCATGTTAGTCGTCCATCTTTATATACACTCACTGGTCAGTAACCACACAGGGAAAGAGGAAACAAACATGACGCTCACCCCAACGACTATGATGACTTTGCCTTGCTTCAGGCCAACTGCCACAGCAGAGGCTGTAGTGTCCTTTGACGTCTGTTCAGTGGTTATAATCTCAAGGAGCTGCATCTTGTCCACTGGAGAGAAGTAATGCATTCCAATCACCTGAGGATACAGAGAAAATATTCAGCCACATTTTCTTTACAAGCACTTTTAAACTGCAAGGCACCCAAGTACAAACCTTGTCTGGTCTCTTGCTGGCAGCAGCAATATCCTTGATGGGCAGAGCAGATGTGTTGCTGGCAAATATGCAGTGAGGGGAAACCACCTGCAGACAAATGTTTGTTAGATCGTAGCTCAAAGTCACAACATTATTGTCCCAGATTTAGTCCAACAAATGTTAAAACCATGGACTGATATTTACAACAAAGAAAGTACATTCTCTTTGTAATAAAGGCATACTGAGACTCTTTTGAGTTACACTTACAGCCTCCACCTCCTTAATGACTGCATGCTTGATGTTAATGTCTTCAAACACAGCTTCAATAACCATGTCGGCATTTTCAAATCCACTGTAATCCAACTGCCCTGTCAAGTTGGAAAGTATGGAGTCTCTCTGAAATGACGTGATGTTCTTCTTTTTGGTCTTGTCGTTGAGCCTAATTAAAAATAAAGAATGAAATGATTAATCACCAAGCTTTCAGGTTCCAATAGCTGATTTGTAAGTTTAATGTTATTCTTTCTTTTGACTGGAACTGTATCAGCCAAAGGATACTAATTAAATAGTTAACAATACTCCATGACCAAAACAACTAAAATTTAAATTCCTGATATAACAACACACCCTTTGTAAACCTGCTGTTCTCCCCTGCTCAGTCCAGTCAGAGTGGTGTCCTTCAGGACTGTGTGCACACCTTTGTCCACAGTGACCTGGGCGATACCTGCTCCCATCAGACCTGCTCCCAAGATGGCAAGAGTCCTAGTGGTAAACAAAGGTAAAGATAGTAAATGATAGGAGGATTAATTTAAGACTGTAATACGAGAGATATAGATGATGTGCATCGGTGTGTGAGTGTGTATGAATTTTCCGTTTGTGATGCCCTTTGTCATCACTGTATGAATGTCTGTGAAAGGGTAAATGTGGCAAAGTGCTTTGAGTGGTTGGAAGACTAGAGAGGCGCTATACAAGTACAGACCATTAACCATCAGTGTAAATGTGTCAACAAAAGTATCAGACCCGGCTTTGTCGTTAGTGGCAACCAGGTATTTAACCCTGTAACGCATATATATATATATATATATATATATATATATATATATATATATATATATATATATATATATATATATATATATATATATATACACACACACATTTGCCTGTAAAGTAACAAATTTCTGTTCGTAAATTCTGTATCAGATTACAGATCAAAACTAGGGCTCCATGATTAATTGAAATATTATCAACATTGCAACATGGCCAAATGCAGTATCCAAATTTATAAAAAAAAAAAAAAAAAAAAATATATATATATATATATATATTATATAAAAAGGTAAAATAAGAGCGTTATAATGAATTACTGTAGTTCTGATGAGATGCCAAAATCCAAAGCCAAATCCTGTTCTCCAGATTTAAGAGAACACGTTTGCTTGGTACAGACCCCAAAGAATTTCACATCATCATGGTTTTGGTATTGGGATGCAAAACTAATCATGAATCATATCGTAATATCTGTCAAAGTAATTGCAATATGATGTATTTACCACATTGTGCAGCCCTAGATATAACAAATATATTGTTACTTGCGTTACATAAGTTCTTAAATTATCTGCATAATGGGTGGATAGAAAATGTTTATGCACATTTGTGATTTTAAGTTGGGGTCAGAGATGGAGATCCTGAACCATTTCCCTACAATATCCATGAAGTCTGTAGAGAGGTTCTTCAGCCTCGGCAGTCTAGTGCTGACCCGGAGGAGGAACAGGCTGTCGATTTGAGAGAGTCTTCCTCACGAGGAATAATCACTGCTTTATTATTAGACTCGTCAAACAAGCTGAACTAGTCTACTATAAAGCCATTTGGTGAGTGAGTTTGTTTGAGGTTGATATAATAATATAATGAGTGTAATTAATTACTTTCTACAGGGTACCAATGCGTAACATTACTTTTTCGAGTAATGACCACAACACTGACCATGACTCTACAAACTGGTCTGAAATGTCAAATTCTGGTTGAATACATGTTAACACACACACACACACCCACACACACACACACACAACCACACACACACAGAATGTGAAAGTGATAAACACTTACTTCACTTCTCTTTGAGGAGTTCCAAAGCGGTTCTTCTTGCATGCAACTTGACCATGATAGAGACCGATCAGGGCTGCAGACTCTGGGGTTTTTGCCAACTGACCAAAATTCTGTGACAAACGAAATTAAAAATTGTTCACTTGCACAATGAGCTATTATAAATACTGCAACTGCCACGGATGGAGACCAACAAACCTTACCTGAGACTCAGCTAAGTATCCTGCAGTGGGGCCTTGTTCTACTCCAGTCTTCACACACTGAGAAGGGGAAGGATAAAAATGTCAAGTCATGTTAAATATGAGACCAAATTTCGCAATGATTAACAAAGCAGAGAAGACAAGAGAGACCGATAGACTACTGTCCAACCACTTATTCATATTTAATAAGCTGTGGCCAGTTAATGTTTGGTATTTTAATTGACAAATGAATTAAACATTACTTGATTATAAAAAGTTTTCCCCCACTAAATAGATACAGATGCACACTGGTTGGACTCTTAAATCAGGCTAATTTCTGACAATACCATCCAGATTCTTAAAATAGCCATAGTAAATAAATACATTGTTGTTAAAGAGAGTTTTTACTTACTTCAATGATTTTCAGGGGTGCTGGATAAAGTCCCTTGCTCTGCTTCATAACTTTACCATGGACAGTTTTGTAAATTTGATTCCGTACGAGCTCAAAGCTCATAATGTAGTCTTGAATTTCTATGGAGAAAGAACATTAACTCTTTAATGCAGTATTTTTTATTCATGATGAAACAAACTTAAGTAAATACAAAGAGTCAAATGTGCAGGAAATGCAGCACAACTTACTCTGCATTGTGCCTTTCTCTTTGCGGAGAGGGATCTTCTTATTGACGATCCCTTTGGCATATTCGATGGCAACTTCCTCCAGGTAGTCTATTGTTCTTTCTTCTGGACTCTTCAGGCCAGGTCCTACAATATGAGCAGAAGAACTTTAAACTACCCCTTTGAAGAAATTCAACATTTTATTATCATATGTGAGTTGCAATATCTAACCTAGAGGGTCAACAAGTTGGTCGACAAGCCCCATCTTCTTGGCTTTATCTGCTCGGATATTTCTTCCTGTGAGCATCATGTCAAAGGCACTGGGTAAACCAACCTAAAGGTAAAAAAAGAAAACATATGTGAACTGATATATGATCAAATTGAGAGTGTGTTTGTGTACAGAGCATAAAAAGAAAAAAAATCTTTCACATTATGAACAGTAGTTAACAAATCGTAGTTAGTTCTGCACTTGGAATGACATTAGACATGAAGGGCTGGGGGAAGTAATCGGTTTGCAGGGTCTCAAAGGTGCACGTAAACATCTTAAACCAATTATGAGCATTAACCAGATTATTTTGCATGACAGCCTAGCCATTTTAAGTATTGACCTGATGTAAGATACAATGTTATAAACATTATAGGAAACTTTTACATACTATGGTCGCCATCATCCTGCGTTATGTGTGGTTTTTGTGCCATCACAAAGGCGAATCAATGGCACAAGTCTATAAATCTTTGTCTAAACTAACTTAACAGGAGCATTTTACAGTCTAAAGTGAAAGCTAACAGTCTCATTTAAAAGCTTTAATTCTGAACCAGAGCCCACCGGTGACTGAGCTTCCCAATTCCATAGCAGTCGGCTAGTTAGCGCAGCAAGTTTACACTTAAATGTTTGTTTGCTTAAACAAACAGTTCACAAGTTCCACCTTCAACAAATACTATGGTTAAATCTTTAGTGAGACATACGTTTGCTGAGGAAAAAACGATGTGGTTTGAAACACGACGTTATGTTTAAGGGTTACATTCTTTGGAGCTAACAGCTAGTCTAACAAGCTAATTACCCACATTGTCCTTAGCAAATCCGGTGCTTTCTATATCATTCACCGCGCTGGTTTTATTTATGTTTTTTAAATAGTAGACAGGTGATAATTTCAAGTATTTACCTGATGTAAGATACAATGTTATAAACATTAAAGGTAGCTTTAACATACTTTGATCTCCATCATCCTGCGTTATATGTATGTTTTTTGTGTTTAAAGTCCAGCAGTTCAAACAGTGACATCAATGGAAATTTAGAGAATATAATTCCAGTACCAACCATTTTGGGGAGTCTCTGAGTACCACCAGCTCCAGGTAGAAGACCCAGCATTACTTCAGGAGTACCAAGAACAGTTTTCTTGCTCTTTGTTGCAATTCTGTACTGGCAGGCGATGGCAAACTAAAATGCAAAAAGAGCCCATTAGATAACACATCCTAGTCAAATACAGTCGAACATAGTTGCTGTAATAATCTTTGTTTACCTCTAAGCCTCCTCCTAAGCAAGAGCCATTGATAGCAGCAACAATGGGCTTGGGAGATTTTTCAATCTTTTCGAACATCTTTTGCCCCTCCTGAGAAAGTTTGGTGACCTCTTCTGCATTGTTGCAGGCCTGGATCATACTGTAACAGATGTACAGTTTATCAAAAGAACTCCAGGTAATTTGACAATTCGTTCAAATAATATAAAAGACAGTAAAGCTGGGGATGCATAACGCTCATTTGTGTTATATTCCAGCAACTTACAACAAACCTTTTATTTCAACACCACACATAAGAAGACAAAATACACTTTGTAATAATACAGAAGAAGTTACACACACATATTTGATCGCCTGTGGGATTTTAGAGATTTCTCTTACTTAATATCAGCTCCTGCAATGAAGCATCCCGGCTTTGAGGAGATGAGAACAGCACTTTGAACAGCGTTGTTTGCCCACACTTCATTCATGACTTCTGCCATCTCTGTTTGCATCTGGACTGACAGCGTGTTCACCTGGGAGACGAAATGACCGTTAGCTTCACGTCACATCTGCATAATTCATAGTCGAAAACTGTCAGATTAATGTCAGCGAGCTCACACCTTGGAGGTTGGGTCGTTGATCCGCACAACAGCAACATCGCCCTTGACTTCATAGTTCACATGGGTTCGGGCTAAAAATAGAGAAGGAAAGATGAACAGTGAGAGAATAATTGTGTCACTGCCGGACAGGCTGGCCTATATTTGACCCACACACCAAAAAAAAAAAATGTTCAGTGATTTTGATATTACCCAGCATTGCAGGAGCTACTGAGAAAGTGCGGAAAGTACTGCCTGTAAGAAGAAAAAAAAGACAGTAAGCAATTTATTATTATTATTATAACATATTATATAAGACACCAAACGTGCTGCACATTATCTAAATGCTTCACCATTACAGTCCATATTAACTCACATTGAGCCCTGCCTCATATAACACACACATGAAGTGTATATGAGTCGTTCACATAATATATTGCTTTGACCTCAGACAGTGCTGTGTGATCCAGTGGAGACTGACCCTTCACCTAGATTCTCCGCCTACCGTTCAGACAGCAGCCATCACAAAGACGAAGCAATGGCACAAGTCTGTCAAAATCCTCGTCTAAACTAACTTAACAGGAGCATTTTACAGTCCAAAGTGAGCGCTAACAGTCTCATTTAAACACTTTAATTCTGAACCGGAGTCCCACCGGTGACTGAGCTTCCCTGATTCCGTAGCTGCGAGCTAGTTAGCGCAGCACGTTTACACTTAAAAGTTTGTCAGCTTAAACAAACAGTTCACAAGTTCCACCTTCAACAAGTACTATGGTTCAATCTTTAGTGGGATATATGTTTTGTGAGAAATTAAAACGATTTGAAATGGTTACATTCTTCGGAGATAACAGTTGGTCTAACAAGCTAATTACCGACACAGTCCTTAGCAAAGCCGGTGTTTTCTGTTTCATTCACCTGGTTTTACTTTGTTGTTTTTTTTAAAAATATTAACGGTATGTTAGTCTCTACCTGTGAAGAGAGCGTATCTCCTTGATGTAAATTTGGAGAGAACACCAAGGGCTCGAACACCAGCCATCTTGGGAGCGGAGGTCAGTCAGAGCAACGCTGAGAAGTGAAGCTAGCTACCGCGCTGTCAAAAGTACAATCATTGGTGGTTGAGCGGAAAGCAGAAGATTGGCGACTTTGTGTGCCACTTCCTGAAGCCCCCGATCAATCGGACGCGAAGCTGATTGGCTTTCGTCGAAGATGCCCGCACGCCATTGGCTGACTGTGAGGAACTCGCCGCTGATTGGACGTTCCAGGACTACAAACCGCCTCTCGACGCGACTCATCACTTTTCAGTCAAACATCTGAAGGCTGGAATCTGGAACTCTTGTTTTACATTCATGTTGCTGATTTTTTTAAAAATATTTTCCGGACAAATATGAGATAATATAGTCATTACAAATGTACTGCAAACCTGCAATGTAAAATATATAATCACTAAATAGAAGCAATAGCAACATGCTGCCACAAGGCGGAAGCAGAAATCAATTTACTTCAACATAGGCTATTTACATTTGGTAAGTTAAGGTGAAACAATGCTTTTCATCCTTTTTTCTAACTGATTCTTACATTAAGAACTAAGAATTACATGTGAAATTATTGTAATTACAATAGTTAATATAGTAATTATTAATTGTATGAGCAATACATTATTTTATTTCATATATTTATTCAAATTAGTGTTTCTATAATTATGTTTACCTCTGGGTGTGTTTAATTATTGTTTGCTGTGCGTTATATTCTTGAACATTTAACAAAAATGCACAACAAAAATGTTTTGTATATTTGTTGTTAGGTTTTTTTATATATATATAAAATGTGTCTTCTGTTTTAGTTATTCTCGAAACTAAATATTAACTCTGCAACTACACTGTTTGTTTGGATTCTGGGCAATTTCCTTTACATATCGAGCAAAAGGTAAATACAAGCAGACTGAAACTGTTTGCACCTGAGTGAAAGTCTCCCTCTTGTATCCTGTATTGATCACAGCACTAAGGTGACACCCGGTGTACAAATAGGTGAACTACATTAACATCGACTTCTCTTTGGGTCAAAATGGCTCCTACTCATACACAAGTTGCACTGTGGCTGATTTAATGCTAAGTATTAATGAAGTTTACTCCAGGTTTTAGGATGGACAAGGATGGGATAATTATAGATTGACGATAAAGCCCCAGTCCTCTTATCCATGTAGCCATTCATCACCAGAATCACTTTGCATTATTTTGCATGTTCTCTAATAGCAGGTCAAACAGTATGACTCCCTGCAAAATGAGCAGTGATCAGTGTCAAATAAACAGAGGATGAAGAAGAAAATAACAAAATCCACTTACACCTTTATCTCTGGTTCCTTAGATATTTTTACCTCAACTAACAGGAACTGATCTTTTTCGAGATATGCTGTCTGTCTTGCCCAATACCTAAACCACTACTTTCACAAAACAAGATGTTTTCAATTGCTGTTGGAAAATGTAATGACATTTTATAAAAGCCATTACATTTTATTATAGACGTGCTCCCAGGTTAAAGGTATGTCCCCTTAACTGAATAATGCTGGCATGGTGGTGGAGGAAGTACTGAGATCATTAACTTAAGTGAAAGTAGCAAGTTTGGTATTAGTGTTATGTTATTGTATTATTATTACTAAATTACCTAAACTAACACATGTATCATATTTTATGAGATGATTATATGTTATGTTGTTCTTCAAACTATAAACAACTATGGTTTTTCAAATTAATGTGGAATAAAAAAGTGCAGTATGTATATTCTTTTTATTTATGAGTAGAATAATAAAGTCACGTAAAATAGAAATACACAAGTAAAGCCTCTCAAAGTTGTAGCCTACTTGAGAAAAGCACTACTTATTTTCTGAAATAAATAAAACATTCTGCTACATGTACTATTTCTGATCTGAACTTCAAATAATCTTTTAATGCGCAGTCGATTGCACTTTAATGTTTACACTTCTGACCTTTGACATTCGTGTATACGAGGCGCATTTGAAGGCAGCATCTGTCTTTTCGAGAGGGCGGGACCGTGTGTCGCTAACACGAAAACAGCCAATCAGAGATCAGATACCCACATAGCAACACCAATCAGCGACGAGGGACTGTCTGGTTGCGAAGGTAGTGGTAGTGTTGGTGTGCTGGCTGGAGGAAGCAAGTGTTTCCTTCGGGCTCGCTGTCGCTGTTACGCTTAGTAGCAACGGTCTGCCCATACAGTAACGTTATATCTGTTAAGTTAGGCGTCCTGACTATCATGTGTTTAATTCTCCTGCTCAATGATCCAGTTTCTGCATGTTAATGCGGCAAAACGAGCGTGCGAGGTGAACGTAACCTCGTCTGAAAAAAAAAAAAAAAAAAAAAAACATAATTGGAACAAGAAATTTACGATGCCATCCCCGATGGAGGGATCTTCCAGAGAAGGTGACCTCTTTACTGTGAAACATGAGCTTAAAAATGGTAAGTGAAGCTGCGAACTGGTTGAACTTTTTCTTCTAAATGTCTGTTTTATCCGCTGTGTGTATCTTTAGGAGACACGTGTCCCGGAGAAATGTTAGCTGGCTAGCTTGGGAAGAAGCAACTGTCAGTGTCAGTGGGTATTTGTAGTGAGCGCTAACATCAGCGGAACCCTTATTCAAGTCTTTAAATATATATATATATAAAAAAGGAAGGTTAACTAACGTTGCTGAGTGCCTTTATTACCTGTAACGTTAAGGTTTATACGCAAACTAACGTTACCTAACCAAACGTTAGCTAAACTGCTACTTAATAACCGCGGTCAACGCTGGTAATAACATTAGCCAGAAGCTAGTTATTAACGTGTAACAAGGCGACATCAGAGCTCAGCAGACCATCGACGGGAGAGATTTTGAGCAAGTTTGTGTCACTGTCGCCGCCTTAACTTAATCGTTAATTACTAAATCAAATAATTAGTTTGTTTTTTTCCCCCCCTTGTTGTTGTTGCCCTGGATTTGTTAGCGGTCACAGCTAACTTATCTGTAGCCAGCGGAGGGCAGACACCGCTGCAGTGCTGTCACATCACAAGAGCTTGGTTCTTGTCTTGCACGGTGTAGAGGGGTGTGTTAGGCACTGTTGGTTGGTGGAACAGTGGTTTTAAGAGGTAGCATTACTTCCTCTCCTTGCTTAGTGAACAACATCATCATCTTTTTTGCTGCAACAATTGCACTGAAATGACAGTTATAAAGTTATAAAGTAGTGTTGACATACAGTTATATTTACTGTTACGATTCCCAAATGTTTATGATTGAGACTTCAGTGAAGGCGGTTGTTTTGAGTAGAGAGTGGGCACGTCTCCTGATGTTAGTGTAGAGGGGCTGCTGAGTGAAGTTGAACACGGCCTCAGCTACAACTGGTTTATAATGACACAGTGCACTGTTCAGGCTGCAACATGACTATGCTGCACCCCCCCCTATTTACTGCCCTGCCCTAAATATCCAGTCAGTCTAGTTGTCAGTGGCACGTTTTTTTTTTTGGTTTTGTTTCTGGCATTAATTTTCACACAGCAGGTTAACCGCTGTATCAGCAAAAACTTCAGACCACTGCAGAAGCATTTGACTCAGAGGAGACAATAAAGCAAAATGACAAGATAGACCTACTTACCGACTCCATCCGGTCCAGGCCAGACTTTTTTTATTTTACATATTTTTGCAAGTACATTCTTTTCAAGCAGTGTGGTGCAAAATCAATCCATAAATGATCACTGTCTTTCTGTCATAAAGGTCCGGTGTGTAACATTTAGGAGGATCTGTAAGCAGAAAAGGAATTTAACATTAAAGTACATTTTCATTAGTGTACCTATACATCTATAAAATAAGAATCTTTATGTATTTGTTAGATGTTAGATAGCCCATAACGGACAAACCAAACACTGGCTGTAGACGGGGTGTTTCACTGGTTTTGCAGCCTTTGTCTTACGCCCTTGGAAAGCTGAGCTGTATTCAAACGGTTGCAATCTGCAACTTAACTGCTAGATGCCACTAAATCCTACAGCTTCCTGCAAAATAACAAGGATTTTTGCATTAAAGAATTGTAAAAAAATATACTACAGTGGACGTAATTGTTATAGTTATACGTTAGTATAATTAGTGGTAATTAGATGTTGGGTTTTTAAGATTGATCACTTAGGAAACAAACCCAAATACACAATTTAAGAAAAGTGTTTTATTTTGAACGACATGGGCATTTCCCTCCTGTAAGCTGAAGAGGTTCCGCTTGTCTCGCAGCAGGGCATCATCTGGTTGGACTCCTCTATCAGTCTATTAATAAACACTGAAATCAAACTTGGCCTTGGCAGGGTGAGCTTGACAAGGGTGTTATGTAACCTGAACCTCTGACCTCAAATTTGAAGCCAATGTTGTTGTTTGGAAATGACACGGTATACACTCGACCCAGAATGCCTAATAGTTGCAGCATTTCATATCGCGTGTAACAGGAGAAGCAGCGGAAAAGATTCAATCAGCCGTTTTAATTGCTCAGTAGCCTATTTTAAGAGTGTGAGACAGAAGGAATGTGTTCACTACAATGGACATGCATGTCTAAGAGCGTCCTATGCTCAGTCAGCTGTACTGGGACACTGATTTAGAAAGACATGAAGAGTCACTGACAGTGTTCTGAATTCACTGAAGATCTTTTATGCAAGATAATGACCTTTTGCTGGCTAATGTAGCAAGCTCACTTGCAGATTATGTTATACCATTGAGTGAGAGTAAGTCAGTTTTTTTTCTTTTGCACAAAACTGTTGTCATTAGGTCTTTATTTACATGAGGGAAGTTGATTAGGCTTGTGTTATGTCTGTAATATTTGCACATTTTTACAAGTTAACAAATTCACCATTGCAAGTGCTACCACTCTACTGCTGTTGTGCTATGTGTTTATTAAACCACCACGCAGATTTTCTCAACTGGTCCAGTGTTTTAAATCGCTGATCCTCCAAGTTAGAGCCCACTTCTCCAACCTTTTAGACTTCATTATTCATAATTCATTTTTATAACTTGGGCACCAGTTACAAAACTGGTATAGAGGACTGTGAGGTGATGTAGTGGGCCTTCCGATGTCCATGCGAGAGCCTCAGCTTTTGGCAACTACGGTTAAAAACAGCTGGTCAGTTTCAAATGTATTTACAATTTGGCTGTATCAACAGTATCAAATAGATATTAAGAATGCCTTCACTTATTTTGACAAGAGGCGGGTCATTTGATGGCTGAAATGTTAGCTCGTTAACTTGCTGGCTGATTAAGCATCTTTTTACCTTTTTACCATTTAGGAAGAAACAGCTACACTATAGAGAAGGGCCAGGATTAAAGGAGATCTAAGGACGAGTAAAATTGTTTTTAAATCAACCAGAGCCTTTTCTTTACTACAGTCCACAACTTGTACCTATTAATATCTTTAATATCTTAGTATTCTACTTTTATTGGTAAATGTCTTGTACTGTAGGTCATGCTAATTCTTCAGTGAGTCGTCTCCAGTAACGTGCTACCAATCATGGTAGGTGGGAGATTTATAATGCAACTGCAAACAGCAATTTCTGTAGCAAACAGTCAGTGCAGTGAATATAAATGGGAATTTTCCTGTCTTCCAGATAAGCCTCAGTGGAAAAATACCTCATGTGGAAAATATTTTCTGTTTTTGTTAAGGTCTAGCTTAATTAATATTGTGAAAATATACTTTCATGCACAATTTCTGAGGAAGGAATGCACCTTAAGGGAATACATGTACTGGTCTCCTGTTATTTTACTTTGGTATTTTATCATTAAAGCCACATTTGTTTTGTTATATGAAATGAGTGGTTTATCTGATTCTCTTGTAATATTTTATTTCTACTCTGACTTCAGCCAACCTGACGGGCCATGTAGAGAGGGTGGGCATTGAAAACTTTGAGCTATTAAAGGTGCTGGGCACAGGAGGTGAGTAAAACTTAATACCTTTATTCTCTGTGTGTTGAACAGAACATGACATTTAAATGATAGTTTGCATGCCAGTCTGGCATCTGATATAGTGTGTTTTTGAAATGATAAGCATGCCATACCGGTTATTTTTGTTTAAGCCTTTGCCCTGCACTGAACTTTGCTCTCTTCCTTTGTTTATTTTAACCACCAGCATACGGCAAGGTGTTCCTGGTGAGGAAAGTGAGTGGTCATGATGCGGGAAAGCTGTATGCCATGAAGGTTCTGAAAAAGGCCACTATTGTACAAAAGGCAAAGACTGCTGAACACACACGGACGGAGCGGCAAGTGCTGGAGCACATCCGCCAGTCTCCATTCCTCGTAACACTTCACTACGCTTTCCAGACGGATACCAAACTGCACCTCATTCTCGGTTAGAATATTTAATATGAAACATATGTTTATATAAGCAAAAGAAAAGGTTAATCATTGTCTTTAACCCAGGGAAAGATTTTTGAATTAGAAACTTAAAAGAAGTATTTTCCCTTCCCTGTAGAAAAACCAACCAGCTTATATTATTTTGGATGAAACGTGACATGCATGATATCTTCCATTATAGATTATGTAAATGGTGGGGAGCTCTTCACACATTTGGTGCAAAGGGTGCGATTTAAGGAGCAAGAAGTAGCCTTGTACAGTGGAGAGATTGTGTTGGCACTAGAACATCTACACAAGGTAACCATCAGATTCAACATAATCAAGGCCTCTTGTCTGTTCAGAAGTCAGCTATTGCTGCTTACATGCTGTATGTTTAACTTGCCACTTGTCGTTTACTTGTCGCAGCTTGGGATCGTCTACCGGGACCTGAAACTTGAGAATATTCTTCTGGATTCAAGTGGTCATATAGTTCTCACAGACTTTGGCCTCAGTAAAGAATTTGATCAGGTACAGTATGTCTTAACAATATGTGTTACAACCTCTCAGTCCTCCTCAGAAAGGAGTGCAAAAGCTGATGGAAGCCTTGAAATTAGGCTTCCATCAGCTCTTACACTCCTTCTGAAACTGACCTATCTTTCTGTTCTCATAATAGATTTAGAAAGAACCAAAAAAGGCATTTTGCTTTTTCCTTAAAGGCCCTCAAAAAACAATTTTCTCTTTAGCTTTTTCTCTTTCAGCAAAGGGGTCCTACTTGAACACACAATTTTCTCTCAAAATAAAAACAGTATTGGTTCTTTCACGTGAGAGAAATCATCCTATGAGCTCTTGGTTTGAAGTGGACAGGCTTAGTTGAGAAAAAGGTGATGTCACCTACCTCCATACAGATCATCAGTTGTGGTGCTTTTTGCTTATGTTGCCAGGCCACTGTCAGTCAGATCTGAACAAACCTCACCCACACAGTCTCGATGAAGCAGTTAAACTCTTAAAAATGAATAATGCCTAGAGATTGGTGTCCTTTTGCTTTTGATGAGACTAACAAAATGAGGACCCGCTTGAAGAAACTGCTTTATCGGGCTAACAGAGGTTAAAAGGTCCACAGAACCTTTAAATATTACAGAGAAACTTTTAAGATTCCTCAGGTGCTTTAATCATTCTCTTTCAGTCCTGGCCACTTGCAGGCATTTTAAAACACAGAGAAGACTAGGATCCTCTGCATTTTGTGTTGTATTTGGAAATTTAAAATGTGTCAATTGATGATTTTGTGTATTTTAAAAACAGATGGAAAGGGCATTTTCTGTTTGTGGCACCATTGAATATATGGCTCCAGAAATTGTGGAAGGCGGAGAGTCTGGACATGACAAGGTAATTTATAGTTTTTATCTTTTATGCTGTCTCCTGTTCGATCAAATCAAGCAGCCCAGACTCTCGCCCCGTATTTCTGAATGTGTGTGCTCTCTACTGAGATTTGTCTTTTAGTCTGTTAAGCCAAAGTCATGAGTGGGTGCTTTCATGCATTCCAGGCAGTGGACTGGTGGAGCCTTGGCGTGCTGATGTACGAGCTTCTGACTGGCGGATCACCCTTCACCGTTGATGGAGATGAGAACTCACACACAGACATTGCCAAGTATGGATTTCTCCCTGATCGTCAGCCACAGTTTTTCAGCTATCCTTCAGTTATAATCTCTCTACAGCACTGACCATATCTGTCTTACACATCACAGGAGGATTTCAAAAAAGGACCCTCCTTTCCCCAAAGACATGGGACCACTGGCCAAAGATGTCATCCAGCGACTCCTCATCAAAGATCCAAAGAAGAGATTGGGTTCGGGGCCTAGTGGAGCAGAGAATGTAAAAAAACAGCCGTTTTACCAGGTGGATCTCATTGCCTGTCTCAACTATTTCACAATATTTAGAAAAACTAAATAGCAGGATGGGCTGTTACTATACATAATGGGGCTGCTTTGAGTGAATAGCATTTAGGAAAACTGAGTGTCTGTATAAGCTGTGTTAATAAGGATGGGGATTAACCAAAATGTTTGTCTTTTTTTTTTTTTTTTTTTTAAACTCACTTTAGAAAATTAACTGGGAGGACCTGGCAGCTAAGAAGGTTCCTGCCCCATTTAAGCCAGTGATTCGGGATGAGCTGGATGTCAGCAACTTTGCTGAAGAGTTCACAGAGATGGACCCCACCTACTCTCCTGCAGCCCTTCCTCAGAACTGTGACCGCATCTTCCAGGTGGGAGGGTGTTAAGGAATGTTAGACAACCAGACTATTTTTTGTTGTGACTCATGGTTTTGTTGTTTAGAGACAGGAACATTTCTTTGTGCGCCTTGCAGGTCATTGCGCAGGACAACATTTATATTTGCATCTGCTTTGTGCTGATGTTTGTCTGGGCTTTAGTTGCAGGCAGTGTGAAATGTTGACACGGATGAAAAATCGCATTATACATTATCCGTTTTTTGTCTGTGACTATATTTGACATACTCCACAGCAATTGAAGTAATCAAGTGAAGTTTTGAATGTCCTCAAAAGGTTGCTGTAAGTCAACATGAGTCTGTCTGTGTGCACTGGTATTCAAATTGACTAAAGGGTCTTTTATTGAAGTAATTGCTGCCATATGCAGCTCTTATTGAAGTAACAGATGTGAATGACTATTTTTGATGTAGCTTTGAACCATAATATGGCCCACAACTCCGTGCCAGCTGATGGCTGTCTGATGTATTGCATGAAATTTCAACTCTGATTGCCTTCTGGATCCTTGAGCTTGGTAGATCAATAGATCCATTAACGGGCTTCTCTCATGGAATAAAAGGTTACACTTTGAGAGCATCACCACGTCTGTCTCGGTTACGCCTTCAGTCTTTGATTGCCAACTTCATCTTGGCTTTTTTCGCTCTCAGCTGCCATTCATATAGTCTGAAATTTTGTGGTCTTTATAATTTGCAAGCCTAGCAATCTCTGAGATAACGACAGCAATCCCAATTTTAAACCGTGCACTTGCTCCCCCACCGTGCCTCACAAAACAAAATTAAAATTGCATTAAGTGTGCCAAGATGTAATTTCACAGCAGAGCAATCAAATATTCAAGCCCGGCAATTTAGGGCATCTCATTCATTCAACATCCATCCTTCCGTCCATCCATGGCTGTCACTACATACCACACAGCTGTGTGTGTGTCGGTGAAAAAGGGAAAGAGAGATTAATGCCAGCTCAAAGCTTTGGGCTCCCCACAGCTGGAATTAAGCAGGCAGCGCTTCACAATGACAGGTCTAACAATAGGAACAGCTGGACAGCCACTGTCACTCACGAATGAACAGAACTGAGTTTATTGTGGAGCTGTCAGGCTGGTGTGGCATTTGAAGAAAATGCACAACAATTTGAAGTTTTATAGTTAATATTGAAACATATAAAATACAGTAAGTGTCTATATATTTATGTTATATATAAAATAAAGTATTATCTGGGATTTTAATGCTGTAGTCTTTTGAACTGCAGCAATGGATGTTTCCTCTTCCTCTGTTCATATAGTCCAGCCCTGGCTTTATGTCTTTGTAAAATGTAAACACTTAGAGTTGATGTGTTTCTGTGCGCAGGGCTACTCTTTCATGGCCCCATCCATCCTGTTTAAGAGGAATGTGGTGATGGACGACCCTGTCCAGCTGTGTGGGGGCTCTGAGAGGCCAGGCTCTGCAGCGGTGGCCCGCAGCGCCATGATGAAGGTAAGATGAATGGACTTGGATCCCCCTGTACAAACACACTTAAGCTAATGGCTGCTGTCACAGACAGATGAGACTTTTCCCTCCTCTTCATTCCACTAGAACTTTTTTCTACTGTACTTGTTTCACTGCAGTCAGATTCAGTTTCCAAACATGATCCTGTTTATTTGAGGCTGTTTGTTCATGGATGCACTTGTGTATCTGTGCAAGAAAATGCCCTTTAAGAAGGTAGCAGTGCAATGCTTTTTGTGGCTCATCGGGTTTCAAGTTTTCTCATCAACATCCTGGGTACGTGTTGGTGTAGAAATTTTGTGTTGATTTAAGTGATATGAAATTGAGCAGTTTCATATCACTTTTTTTTTTTTCATATGAATTGAGCTAATTTTTTTTTATTGGTATTTGTTATATTGGTCGCAAATTATTTTAATATTAGCAGTTTTTTATCAATAAACCAAATGCTGGATTATGGAATTGAAGTAAAATTAGCATTTTGGCTTGTAACCTTGGTCATAGCCTTGTTGTACCCTTTAGTGCTTTCACATTAGAAAGGGGAAGTTTCAGGCAGCAGTCAGGCAACTATGTGCTCAGAATTCCATTAAAGCCTCAGCTCACTGTGCTGTCACAAACTGGAAGCTAGTTAACATGTCTTGTCTTATCTTGTAGTCATCTTCAGTATGTAGTTTCAGATCTGGAGAATATAGTTTTTTCACAGCGTGACTGCTTTGTACATATGTAGCTTACATCTTGTATGCAAATGAATTTGACAAAATTGCACAACAAGAGAAGTTTACTGGGTTCCTTCCTCAAACAGTGTTCATGGATTGCTGCAGGTCACTGTGTGGTGATATATGTAATAAAGCAAATAAAGTTTTATGATCACAAAAACAGCAACAAGCTTTAATTTGATAATCACATAGAATAAGTAATATTTATAAAAAGCAAAGGCTGCAGTCAAGGGACTTGGGGAAAGGGTGAAAAGTGGGACATGGGGTTGTGAGATGGGTTGTTGCCAGTGGTTATGGAAAATGCTGTATATACATGACCTCTAGATTATTATTAAATTTAAGAACACATAAAAGACTGCTTATTCCTCACCTACGTGAATTGTGTCTGTGTGGAGAACGAGACATAACATGGAATGTAAATAAAAGTGTACCAAGGACATGACTGTGTAATATAAGCCAAGTAGCAGTAGTTACAGCATTCTCTATAGAAGAGATAAAAGCAGCCGTAGAGCTGAGATAAATATCACAGTGAAGAGTTTAGTGTAATGTATTTTCATATACGAAATAATTGTATGACGATTTTATTGAAGTACAACAACAATGTAACAACAATGAGGTCATTCTTTAATTGAGGTCACTTGCAATCGTTGGACATATTGGTGATGCCTCTCAGTTAAATTTTATATTTGACCAAACAGCTTGTTTTGGCTCACAATTCCCCCCTCCCCCTGCAGGACTCACCTTTCTATATGAGTTATGAGATGGACCTGAGGGACAGTGTTCTGGGAGAGGGAAGCTTCTCCATCTGCAGACGCTGCACACACAAGAAGACTGGACAGAAATACGCAGTCAAGATTGTCAGCAAGAGGTAAAAGCCCCCAGCCTGCTAGCTCAGATGTGTTTGTCAACCCAGTTGCCTTTGGCAGCGTGAGATATTTATAGTTTGACTGGATAACTCTTCTCCCTGGCAGAAATTGGACTGTTGTCAACCAACTCTAAATACAGTCTTAGAAAACAAATGAGGTTAGACTTAGATTAATTGATGAATAGAAAATAATGTCATAATTTGACTTGATTACATAATATCTCAGATTCTTTTTGCCCCATTACTCTGTTTAAGGTTAACAGATGTAGGTTAAATTAATGTAAATATATCTCTGCTCACCAGCCTACTTGTTTTTGCTGGCAACTGCTACAAAATAAGCTTTGATCGTGTGTGTGTTGACTGCAGTCCTACACTACACTCCTAAACTGACAGTGTAGCACCACATTTTATGGCTCTAATAAAAGCAAGCCTCACTGGGGTTTCTAATACAAGCTCACCCTGATACAGCGCATGTTTCTACAGCACGTTCAGAAAGTAAATCACACTTTGCTCACAGCACCACATTGTGTTATAACCGTGCATTAGTTGGAATTTGCCCATATCAGGTTAAAGAAATCTTTAAAAGAAAGAGTTGCAGAGCAAAACAGCCCTTAAAACCTGATAGAAATGCCTCCTAATTTGACAGTGAGAGAACTTTTGAGAACTGAACGTTGTGGGCTACCAAATGTGCTTTGTGCGAAATAACCAAGCACAGGAATATGCTAACCTCACAGAAGCCACAAAATTATGCTGTAGAAATGTCATGCAAAGAGTTGAGTTAATGGGTGATAGATACGCTGACTCAGGATATTCTGTCTTCTTTCTAAAGCGTGGTTTTGCTTCTCTTGGTACTTTATACAGTATGTTTATTATTATTATTATTATTATAAGTTATTTGGTGGATGTTTTAGAAGCACGCAGCAGGTAAATCAGCAGTTTAGTTTCAGATAGGCGACGTCATTAACAAGCCTCCTCTGCTCGCGGTTCAGTTGCTGTTGTGAAAACGTAATTGTGAGTGACAAAAACCCAGAATGTGAGCAACTTCACAAAACTCAGTGCTGACCAACAAAGTAACAGAGCACGTACAGCCTGTATGATGTAGAGTGGCGTGGCAGACAGTGTGTGACAGAGATGAGGAAAACAAAGCATTTTGTCAGCAAACAATAAAACACCAAAAGTAAAGTGGAGAATTAAGTTAAATTAAAAAGGTGAAATAAGAAATGACCTATAGAAATAGAAATATATCCTCCGCAGTCATTCTGTGGAAAACACTGTAAAGCTCTAAGCTGAACCCAATAACCAAGAAAAGGCTGCGGTTTAAGTTGTGTCATGTTGAACATGTTGGCTGCCAATGAATACACAGTTGTCAATTCATAATTTAATAATTAATTTGAATAATTGTAATTCATTTCTCACTCTACTGTGTATGTGTGTATTTATGTTGTATTTTGTGACAGTTATCTGGCTTCCTGCTTGTGTTTGCTGTAGGATGGAGGCACAGACTCAGCGGGAAATAGCTGCTCTGAAGCTCTGCGATGGCCACCCTAACATTGTCAAGTTACATGAAATTTACCACGACCAGGTAAGGTTTATTGCGGCGGCTACGTTGGCCACCATAAATTCTGTTTTGCATGGCTCTCTGTGGAGCCTGTGGGGACTGCAGCCTTATTAAGTCCTGGAACTGGAACAAGGCAGATTAATGGGGAAGCTTGAAGCCCTCGAGGTCTGTCTCCGTCTCTTCATGTATTGTCCCATAAACATCTCTCCGTGTGCTCGATATTTCACACCAAACGTATTTTTAACTGCAGCTGTAGAAACATCCATTGAGCACCACTGAATAGAAACAACCTAGATTTACTTGTGTTGCTAATCGAGCTGCACACTCAAACCAAACTAAGTGTGGATGCGTTCCAACTGAAGCTTACCTCGGTTATTGGGAAGGTGTGTCCGTGTGGCTGACTGTGTACAGGTTCATTAGCCCCGGTCCTTCAAGCCTAGGAGCACCACTCTAGACCTGATGAGCTCAGTGGGGTTATTACTGTACCTCAGAGGCCTGTGACCCAGATCAAAGCAGCGCTGCCTCGCCTCGCCTCAACCGAGTCCTGCCTTTGTTCCACAGACCCAGCACTAATGAGAAACTCTACCCTGCTGCCCAGACACATTATTCCCTTCCCACTTTGTTTGGACCCTTTCAGTTTTCCTCAGTACCATTATGGTTTGATCTTACCATCATGGGATCAAGGATGGGCTGTTTTTGCTAAATTTATTATGCAACAAAAAAAAATCCCCGTCCTCCATTTCACACATTAACATTCTGCTGTGTTAAACTGGCAGTGCAAGCTGTAAAAAGCAAGATTTATTATACATCAGAAAACTTTTTATTATTGCAAAACCTATAGGAATGTTTGCACCTACTGTAATATTTCAGAGCGTGGCAGAGAATTAAGGTTGAAATGGGTGCAACAGAGGTTGGTGAGAAGTGTAAATATATTCTGTGTTTGTGTTTGCTGCAGCTCCACACATATCTGGTCCTGGAGCTGCTCGGTGGAGGGGAGCTGCTGGAGAGGATCCGTAGAAAGCAACATTTCAGTGAAACAGAGGCCAGCCGCATCATGCGAAAACTGGTGTCAGCTGTCAGTCATATGCACGACGTAGGAGTGGTGCACAGGGACCTTAAACCGGAGGTATTGGACATAGACTCCGCAAGACTACTGCTATAAATGATTTTCTCTCTGAACAGAGTTTGTGCCTTTATGATGAATACAGACACACTGGATCATACGCTTTAAAAACAGAATTACTGTGTTTTTCTGAACTTTGTATGATTTGTGGTATCGTCATTCTGACTCTGCAATCTTTTACACAACAGGAGTAAAATTGTTTGACCCTAACATGGGTCAAAAGTACCTGGTCAGACAAGTCTTGATGTCCAATTTAGTAAGCTCTTGAGTGGACCAGTTCTGCAGAGCAGAAAGAAATGATTGCTGTCCGTGTCTTGAATTGCTTCGTAGAACCTGCTCTTCACAGACGAGAGTGAGAACTCCGAGATAAAAATCATAGACTTTGGCTTTGCTCGCCTCAAACCACCAGACAATCAGCTCCTGAAGACTCCGTGCTTCACGCTGCAGTACGCAGCGCCAGAGATACTCAAATATGACGGCTACGATGAGTCCTGTGACCTGTGGAGTCTGGGGGTCATTCTGGTAAGTGTGTGTGGGACGGCAGAGCCATGCTCGGGTTAAAACAAAATACTGGTAGTTAAACTGATAGAAAATCATTCATTATATGACTTAACATTATCCTCTGGAGAAAGACCCATCAGCAGCCCATTATTTCAGTATTTTATTCTACAGCAATTTGAACAGCAATTGTAAACACAACAGGGAAGAAAACTTATGTTCACGTTCAATTCTTGTTTTTATTTATTAGAATTATGCCCCACATCAAGATCAAGCTTTCAGTTTGATAACAATAATTCTGCTCAGTCAGGAATAGGACTAAATAACAGATCATTAATTGGCCCTATTCAGGAGCATCATTTTACAGTCACATAACAAATACATCCCTCACTTTCCACAATGCAACAGGAAAGTGACCTGATTATAAAACTTATAATGTATAAAACTCTTTTCAAAATCCACAGCTCCAAGCTCCACTTTAAAGTAGTTTTTTGTAATAATGTTAACTGAAGCATTTCTAAAACTAAATTAATGTTTAATCATGAGCCCCACACAGTGTTGATTTGTTGATGTTATCCAGTTTATGGATTCAACATTTGCTGCAGGCCATTTTGATGAAGCAATCAGCTGTTATTTAACTGATTTTGGCTGATTTTGTGGTTTAGGCTTTCAGTGATTGTGTATATGTAAGGGGGGTGTTTTGCGTGTCAATACTCACATGTATGTATGCATGTGTGTGCATGTTCTGTTTCTAATCTGTTTTGCATGATATTCAGCTCCCTCTCTTGTTCAGCGCTACTGCCCTCAGCATCCTGTGGTGAGCTGACACAGTTTAAGGCTCACCACAGAGTGAAGAGCAACCAGCCCGACTCTCAGAGCTGTTAAGGCTGCGCTCATTTGAAACGGTGCTTCCCGGTAGCGGAAATGTCATCCTAATTCAACCTTTTTCTGCATAGAGGAGGAAAATTAAAATGAGAGGTAGAGATGAGACGGAGAAGGCACACGAGTGGGGGGCAGAGAGTTGAGAGAAAGGTTTCTGTACTTGGCCAGTCATCCATACAGACTCTGTGCTCTCTGTGCAAGTGCTATTTCGCACCGTCGCCCCCTAGGGGGGATATAGGAGTAGTGTGCCTTGTGGAGCTTTGATGAAATGGCTACTGACAAGCTGTGTGCACAATGCCCTGGAAGCAAATTGAGCCAACCCAGAGAGGGAGAGAGAGAGAGAGATCAGGGCACGACAGATCTTCCACCGCCAAAAGGGCTGTTCCCAACTACTGTCATTTTAATGAGAAATCCGAGGGCAGACGTAAGCAGGCCAAGGTGAGAGTATCCTGTTCACTCCGCTGAGCACAGACCACTCTTCTGTTTAGTGCTGGTTCAGCCATGGTCAACAACATTGCAGCATAACAATGGAAAAATGTGGACAGTCGTGATCGGTTAAGAGCTCCTCTCATGTTGTTATTTGAACAGCAGATATGTTTTAACACTAATGCTTCGTTAGTTTCCCAGCTCATCGTAGGCAACGTGATTAACAAAAACATGTAGCATTTTCATGTGCCACGCTGACCATACAAGATGTTTAGATTAGATTTATATATAGAAATACAGATGTTTTATATTCAACATTTAACCTAGTAATTGTATTCATGATGCTTTGACAGCAGTTTGTGTGTTTGTTTTTTGCAGTACACCATGCTGTCTGGCCAGGTGCCTTTTCAGTGTCAGGAGAAGAGCCTGACCCACACCAGTGCTGAGGAAATCATGAAGAAAATCAAACAGGGGGACTTCTCGTTTGAAGGCGAAGCCTGGAGAAATGTGTCCCAGCAGGCCAAGGACCTTATACAAGGTGAGGATGGGCACTGGTGGCTTGTAGTTAAATCCGGTGAAAACTATGCTAGAACTTTTATTTCACAAGATGAGCCATCAGACGTTTTATCATCTTTAGACTGTGGTTTGGAGAATTTTTTGTGACAAATTTAGAGGAAATGGGTTCACTATAGTGTGTTAAATTGGCAAAAATGCTGTAATTGCCATTGTGTCATGCAATGTCAAGTATTTATTTAGACCACACATGTTACAGGTGTAATCACACTAAAAAATAAGATTGTATAAAATTGTGTAACTAAATATAAGCATTTTGCATTATTGTTGGAAATACAGGACTATTTTACTCCATTTGTATATTTATAATTTAAATGTAAACTAATGCCACCCAAAGTAGCCCACAGTGACTTCCTGAAGTGGCTCACCTCCTCACTCACGTATTAAGAGTGCTAAAAGTAATTATCTCATTAATTATCCATGTCTTGTTCGTGTAGAGCTGCTGACGGTGGACCCAAATAAGAGGATTAAGATGTGCGGCCTACGTTACAATGCCTGGCTCCAGGATGACAGCCAGCTGTCCTCCAACCCACTCATGACCCCAGACATTCTTGGCTCCTCCACTGCCTCCGTCCACACCTACGTCAAAGCTACCTTTAATGTACGTAATGACACACAATTCATGCTCATTTTAGATGTAGGTCAGGAATTCCCTCCGTTCAGGCTTCCTGTAGTAAGATTTGGGTTGTATTAAACGATTGCTTTTCAAACTGCTCATGGACTGTACAGAATTACTCTCAAACCCATAGCAATTGACTTGAAAGCCAAAATATTGAAATTAACAATATAAGTGTGTAATTAGCTAAATTGTCCAGACTACCATTGAAACAGCAAAATTATTATTATTTTTTTTTATCGGTAATAACACAAAATGTTAGCAATGCAAGTTAAGCTTAGAGCAGAAAATGCAGGGATACACCAATCTGATATGCTAGAATTGGTATTAGCCCTTATACTGACCCTGTTTAAGTTGATTGGGTATGCACCAGACGTGCCTGATCCACATATTCCACATATATAATTTAGTTCCTTTGAAAAATGTTGTGTTTCCTCCTTCAGTTACTTTCATTCAGTCATGGCGGGTCACCTACTGCTACAGCAGTCTGGTCTCGTGTTGCCTTACATAAACATAATAATAAGTAGCACACTTTAAATTTGGATAAAAGACAGCACCACTACAGGTAGAGTGGAGTATTCAAAATCAGCAGAAACCCTGAGTTGAGGAATGGGTATCGGAAGAGAAAGAGCTAGGTCACTGCATCCCTTTGAAAATAATTCAAAAGACTCACCAATCCCCTCTTTGTTTGTCCCAGGCATTTAACAAATGTAAGCGGGAAGGTTTCCGCCTGCAGACAGTGGACAAGGCACCACTAGCCAAGAGGAGGAAGATGAAAAAGACAAGTACCAGCACAGAAACTCGCAGCAGTTCCAGCGAGAGCACCCACTCTTCGTCCTCCTCCTCCCAGTCTCAGGAGAAGACTTTTCCAGGGGGCGACACCAACCCGCAGCCCTGCAACAGCACACCCGTAAACACACCTGTGGCACTGGGAACGGACTCTGAGCACCAACCAGCGCATCCAGCCTTTCACTTCTCAGAAGAACAGTGAAACAGCGAGACAACAAGGGAGATTCAGTTAGCTTCATGAACTGCAGGATGGCTTGGACCAGTGTAGAGACAGCTCTCTTCTCTTTCTCTCTGTCCCTGGCAGCTCTCTGCCTCTGGCTCAATTGCATGGACGTCCGCACGTCTCCAAAATCAAGCATGCAGCAGGAGCAGCAACCGTCACCTCAATATCAATCAACCAATCATCACTAGCAATAGCCTATCCCTTTTTTTTTTTTCTCTCTCTCCCACTTTCACACACAGACTGTATCAATCAGGGACTGGACCAGGAAGAAGTTGTCACCAGTGTCCAACATGAAAAGGGCTGTCCTACTGCCCCAGGTCCAGACAGACAATGGAGAGACATCTTCAAACTCGTCACAGCTCCACCTGTCCGCTCTATTTACCTGTCTTTGTCAATGCCTCCAGAGGTTTTAAAGGGAAAGTCGTAGTGTTTACACCATGGATGCTTTGTATTTTTTGTCAAAGAGAGAGAAGGAATGCAACGTGCTGCAGCGTAATGTAATTTGGGTCCACTTCTCTTTTCTGGGAAGTCTCTGCAAGATGGAGCAGGGTATTTATATGTGAATTTTACAGACTGAAATTTATTTATGATAAGCTATATTGTTAACTTATTTATGGTTCAGACTGATCTGAAAAGAAATAATGGATACAGTGAGTCTTTTAAAAAAAAAAATTGTGTATGTGTGTATTTTTCCTTATCAGCTCAAAAGACTGTTTCAATGTTGTCTGATGGTTGTTCATACATCTTTGTACTCATCATAGACATCAATGCTTCAAGTAGGATACTGAGACACACTTATGTAGATATTGTAACATTATGGGCTAGAAGAGATTAATACCATTAGCTATTGGTTAATGGTTGAGAAGCAGTCAGATTTATGTTACCAAAGTCTTTTGGACTCATAACATTATTTATGGAGGCTTGTGGGAATGAAATGCAGCTTTGTCCAGTGGTCAAAAAAAAAATCAATTTCCTTGTTCATAAGGATTAAAAAAAGCAAAAGTGTAAACTTCTTTTTGTAGGAACAACCAAATGTAGATGTAGTATGTTCAGCCAAATCTGTGGTTTTATTGTTGTTTAGGGAGTACTGCTGCCTGAGGGGATGTGACCCCACAAGAAGAGCTATATTTAGACTTATTTTTGCCTCTGATGTGGGAGTATGACTACTTAAAGTCTCAGCATTACTGCTGTTCCACATTGTCTGATCCTCAAGTCGGTATATTTATCCCAGCAGCGGATTTGCCTTGTGTGGTATATAACTTAATTGTCTCATTCTCACTCAACCAATTGGATTGAGCAGAATGCCCCTAATGGAAAATTCAGATCAGCTTAGTGCTAAATCCGTCCAGAAGTTTGTGGTCAAGTTTTCCAAGATCCAAAATGCCAAAGGGCAGCTTCAAGTGGCTTCCTTTTTCAGATACAGTTCATTTTAAAATGGAAAGGGTTATGTGCCAAAAAAATTCAGTAAAATCAGGTAATGGACAGGTTTGAGTCTTTGAGTTAAGGGTTGTGAGACATTAACACTATTTTAATGCAATATAGTAAAACAAAGTTGCCCCTTGTGCCACTGCCCTAAGTCATCTACAACCTAAGCCTACTACAGCAAATTATTTAAAAACTTCAGTTCCAGAGGACAGACCTCAAACAAACACTCCTTTTACGTTTGACACCATCCCTTGCTCTATTTACCATGTTGTACTGCATGACTGAAATGGTGATCTTTGCACTGTGTGACAGCTCTCACTTTGAGGCGGATATCTGGTTAATATTAAGTCCCCAGTGCATGATTTAAACTGAAACACCAACCTCTTCTTTTTCTTTGTTTTTATGGGCTTTTTTATGGGCTTTTTTTTTTGGGTGGGGGGGGAGGGCAGATTCTTACTTGATTTAATGTGAGTTTGTTTACTTGCACATTTGAATATCCCTGATTTAATTTGGGACTTGGGAGTTTTGCTGTTAGAGGTGTGATGGATGTAAACACCAAACCCCTTTTACAATAGCCTGAATATTGTAATGCTCCAATGTTACAATACTGTGTTTAGCCAGGGTAGTTAGGCAAGTAAAATGCCATGCTCTGAATTGTTTTTTGCAAGTATGTGTTAGTCTGTTTCTATGGTAATAGTTGAAATACTGTATTCTGTTAATATGTACAGGGGTATTTGTGTTCAGTATGTGAAGCTGCCTAGAAACAGTTTCTCCTGCTTAATCAGGATAGAAATTCTTAGTTGGACTACTGTGAGCGTTTAAATACACTCCCTCATCTTCTTCCATTTTAATGCACTCTGAATCTGAACCAAAGCATTAACTTCAAGGTAGCTGCTCTACGCTGCATGAGATATTTTCTTTCATGCAAATATGCAAAGAAATGCTTCATATATCACAGTTTCTGTATGTTTTGTCCAAACTGGTGAAATATGTTAGATGTTTCTAGTGCAGATCATTTTGTAACAGCGTACAGTGTTTTTCTTCAGAGATCCTTTTATAGGATCTATATCCATATCCAGCACATTATCATGCTTTTAAACTATGCATCTCTTTTTGCTGTTGTGTTGCTTTTACCATTTCAAAAAGACTTAACCAAATGGGTCCAAATGTAATGCTTAAAAGGACGTATTACGATTTACATATACTGTACTTTTACTCTGATGGCATCAGCCACAATAGAAATAGCAATGTAGGATCCATTGGTGTATGAAAAGCTGGAATCCTTAGAGCTAAACACTACAAAGCTCTTGTCTAACGTAGTTCGCATGAGTTCCCCGTTGCTGCCTCATTAAGCCTCTTTTCTTTTGTTTGGGTGTATTAATAGCTCAAGTGGAGGAAGAGGAAAAGTGTCCTATATTGAGCTCCCCTCTGGGAGCCAGGCTCTATTAGCTGATGTACTGCAGTGCTGTTTGTTCCAAAGAAAATACCATACTCTACTCACTGCCTCTGTGGGACCCAGCTCACTTTTCTTTGTAGGGAAAATAACTATCCCAGGAAAGGGTTGCTTTAGTACCAACGTCTCTCGGGGCGGATTTTGAAACTAGGTTCTCCCCCCCTTTTATGAACAACTTGTTCAGTGTGCCACTATGAGTGAGAGAGAGAGAGAGACAGAGAGAGGGAGGGAAAGAGAGAGGGAGGCCAGCTTTGATTTGATGTCCTGTTGTCTTTGATACATTTTTTTGTAGGTTCCCTGGTATTTGAATGAAAGTTCCTTTTCTGCCTACAGTGCTTCCTCTTTTTTGCTTCTCTCTGAATGAAGGTTGGAAACCTGACAGCCTAAACCTTTGTACCTTTCTGCCGCATTAATTAGAGGGCTTGGTACTGTTTGTCGGCTGCCGTGAGTTTTAGAGTCAAGGGATTGGGATGTTCATGTGTGCTTCTGTACTTCTGTCAGTGGTGTCGTGCTGTATGAGCTTAAGAGACAGATGAGGGTGCCAAAGCTGAAAGTGACATTGAACATCTTGCAGTGAAAGCTCAGCTTCTCAGTCAGGTGCTTTTGTGCATACAATGTCTATGAATGTGATACTGTTTTGGAAAGATACTGTGGCTAGTGTGGCTCTTATTTGGCCAGCTTTAAGTAGGGATCATATGGAGCTGTCCGCGGTGCTGAAGTGGCAAATAATCTGGTGGATTTCCAATAATGATATAATGTGATCTTTTAAAGCGCTGATTCCCAACCAGGGTTACTTTTGCAGTTTTCAGGAGATTCCTAGACAATTTTAAGAACTAGAAATTGTCCAAAGAAGAAAAACCAACAAACAAATGTTATTACAAATCATTATGAGGCTTTCACAGATTTTACACATCACAGTCTGTTTACCGGTCTCGGGTGGTACTACTACACATGTGAAAAAAATATCTTTGGTGGCTCCAGAGGGAGCTGGTCAAAGTCTGATAAATTGCCACAAAAAAAATTTTTTAAAAAAACCCTGAAGGGGGGGGTTCCTCCGCTCCTCCACTACTAGCATAACACACCTGAATCTCCAACTGAACTGTTGGCAGTTGAGTTGCTTTGTGGGTAATGTAGGCGTCAAGTTTTGACAAGGAATAGGAATGTGTGGAATGAAAAAAGATGATATCTCTATACTATACTTTTTTAAAACTGTCAACTGTGAGTCTGACAGTGTTATAGGAGTGAAATTGAAATCGGTGGAGCACTCTTTTTATTGTTACAATTTATATTAAACTACTAGTTATAATAAGCTACTTGACCAGACCTAAATAAACAATAGCCTAAACATCAACAATTTCAGGATCACTACATGTTGTATGAAAAAAAAACAATTGAAACAATATTCTGTTTTATATAGTTAATAGTGTGAAAGAGGTTCCAGATTTATATAAATGTATATATGACTGTGTAAGGTTGGTAACCACTGCTTTAAAGAGTCAGTTCAGTCAAATCACAAAAAGGATAAAACCAAACAAACAAACAAACAAACATGTTGTTAACAGTACTCATAGGAGCTTTTTGTCCAGAAGAAAGTTAATTCAGTGAGACCTGTTCACAGTATGTTGTGTGGATTATCCATAATAACAGACATTGTTTCTAGTTCTAGGTCTAAATCTAGTTTAACGCTGGGAGCATCACAAACAGCCTCCATTATATTGAGGACTTTCATAGATTAATATGTCACAACCTGGCCACAAAAACCAAAGCTCGAGAGCAGTTGTGTATGAAAATCCTGCATGTTTTTTTAAATTTTTATTTGCGTGAACTAACCCTTTAATGATCCACATGGGAGAAACCATTTTTCTTCTATAAAGGTCAGCTACAGAATAGCATTGTTGTTTTTGCTCAGACACTAGGTTTACTCCACCCAGTATTTCTCTATTGTTGAGATTAATGCGACATGAAAAAGGCTTTAGTGTTTTATTTTATTTAGTGAAACTGATGCTTTTGCCCACACAAGTTGTAAGGGATGTCATCCAGTGCTCATGCCAACCTGCCACTTTAAGCATCATCATCATCACCATCATGCATGCGCTACTGCTTGATTCCTGTCAATATTTTCCACAAATCCTTGTCATATCGTTACTGCAGTGTGTCAAAAAAAAAAGTACTGTAGCAGTGAATCCCTTTTGAGATTGGTCAATATTAAACTGTTTGAAAATACGCAATCAAGCTTTAAGGGAAAAACTTTGCACTTGTATGTTATTTTAATCATGCAATTGATTTTTTTTTGTAAAAGAAAAAGAATATGTCCTCTTTGACTTTGTGCAGGTTCAGATGTTTCACCTTATTCATCCGTCTGTTTCTGTTGATGGCTGTCAGACATTTCTAAAGAGATACTAAAAATATAAACCTCAACACCGGATAGTACTTGTACTGCAAGGATACACCATGTGCATACCTGCTTTTTTAGGGCACTGTGAACATCATCATTCAGGTCTTTAGGTACACCATTGATAGTCTGAGGAAAAAACCTTGATTTGCTTCAATAAATGCTTTACTTGCTGGCTGAATACATCTGTACATTTAATAACCTGATACCAGTCATGAGTGTTTTAAGAGATCCTTGGCTTCATTGTATTTTCAATTGTATTTACATCATTACTGAAGATATTTTGTGATACCAGGATTTGTGTGTATGAGTTGTCAGAAGGACAATAAATGTACGATTTCCTGTTCATTTATTTATCTTGATTAATAAATTAGGTACAAACCTTTTCATATAAAAAAAAAAAAAAAGGGATTCTAATTTAACAGGCATGTTAGGAGACATGGAAGCGTTTATTTCAGAGGGCAGCCTCTAGATGGCAGTGTTTAATAAAGTACCACTCAGAGAACAGTTTACTGAGTAGCATGAACTCCTGTCAGCCTGTATGAGTTATTCATAGATGAGTCAAATATAAGATTGTGTTAAATATTCTTCAAAACTAAAATAACATTTTTCATGTTGTTTAGCAGGACTAGAGGTTAATTTCTATGTACAAGGTCGATTAAATGCATATTTATAACCGAACTAAGATTTGTGTCTTAAAAACTGAACTGAAAATACTGTAAATGTCCAAGTTATATTATTCTGATGCTCTGATTAAAATAGTCATATGCAGTTGACCTGAAAATTGTTCATTTGGGGAAGAGCTGAATGGTAATAAGTGAATTATTGATCATTTGTAAAGTAATGATAAATAAGCATTGTTTGTGTTTGCAGATTTTGCCTGTTTAGATTCATATCTGTGAAGAAATGTTCATTTTAGAAGTTAAGGGCTTCAGGGTCTACGAATCCTTTCAGAATATATGGAACTGTTTGTCACATGTTACAATAAAACAATTCAATTCTCAGTTTATTCTGAAGATTACTTTCTCTGTTAATGGACTGATCCATCAGAAAATCTACTACAAATTCTAATTTTACAACCATAAAATAAAACTAAGAAAACCAGCTGATATTCACATTTCAGAAGCTAAAACTTTAAAATCTTTGGCATTTTTGCTGAAGAAAATCATGAAAGATGAACATGACTATGAAGTAGTAGCCAATTATTTTCTTGTCAATTCCTTAATTGACTAATTGTTGCAGCTCTCCAGCTACAAGTTGTCTTCGCTGTTACTACCATATACTGACAGGAGAGGACGCTCTTTGGCTCTCAATTAGCTGCACTATTACTTCTCCTATCAAATTAATTTGCTCTGTGGAAAAAGTTACATAGAAATAATTGTTTTTGGTGACACGCAAGAGGGAAACTCTTGAAGTTTTTTTAGGTGAGAAAAATCTGATTATATTCTCAAACCAAACCAGTAATTTCCTTTCAAAACCCTGACATTGTCACAGAGGATCTGGATCAATGCATCAAAAAGTTCAGAGGTCATCTGCGTGCACAGTTGCTCAAATAAATACCCTTCTTCAATTTCTGTTGCATGAGTAAAATATAGAAACATGCTAAATTCATTAATAAAATTAATTTCATTTAGTTAATTAAGCTTATGAATTATTTGCCTTTGACTTTGAAGGCAATAAAATGCTTTAAAGGCTGTCAGTGATATAGTTCCTTTTCTGTGTTTTACTTTTACGTTGATATTACTGCACAGTATATTTAAAAAAACAGTTTTTGTTTATGGCTTTCAGCATGCTCAGGTTTTGCTGCTACAGTCCTATGTGACATGTGGCTAATCTGTTAGCTAAAATCGGCAAACTTTATGTTTCTGTGTAAGCTGTTAGATGGCCAGGCTGCTATAATACTACTGCACCAAAATCTTTTTTAAAAGCAGATTTATATGCATGTCTTTCAGTCCACTTGTGGTTTCACCCCACTTGCTATATGCAACAGTACAGATGGTGCACTTACAGAGCACTTTTGCTTGGCTAATTTTGCAATGCGGATGTCAATATGGATGCTCAGCTGGAGAAAGTCATTACACAATGTATCCTCTGTGTGTGTGTGTGTGTGTGTGTGTGTGTGTGTGTGTGTGTGTGTGTGTGCATGATATCTCTTTTCTTTGAAATCTCTCTGCCCTAACATGCTATCCATTACTAAACAATGTGTTGTACTGTGGTCAAGTATTCAGATGGAGAGTCTGCACTCTAAAATCCATCATTGAGATTTTTAGAGGGAGACTATGGGCTAATTGGCTATATCTAGAAAGACAAAAATACACCTAGAAATAGAAACATTTTAAAATCCTCTACAACAGACTCAAGGAAGCGTATAAGGTATGGTCAGTTGATTTTATTTTTGGTCATCACAAAACACATAATATACTCGACTTTTTTTTACTTACAATGGCGTAATTGTGGCGGATGCAGTTTTGTAATTGTAAAGAAGAAGACATTTTTTGAGTTTTCAAGCAATAGCCTAATAGCAAAGTCAAGACAATGTGAACCTTTGTTTGTTCTGCTATGAAGCATAATTCTGCCTGATTATGCAAACCCTTTATGTTCACCTTCAAAGCAGTCTGTAAACAACCTGAAACAATTTCACTCTTGTTCTCGTTCATGTCAACATGTATTGTCAACCTTGTTTCCAAAAGACTCCCCTCTTCTGTCAGTACATTTCTTTGATATTAAAATTCCTCTTAGTTTGATTTGGTGTTCTGTACTTGTCATTATGGCGCTCAAAAAGTGTTAATGACATTGGGAAGAAACCTTGGAAATAAGATGAACGGCTCTACCAAAATGTATTCATGTCCACATTGGTTATATCAACCAAACTGACAACTTCATGTTCATAGATCAATAAATATAAAATGTGTTGGATGGGGTTTGAGCTATGGGTCTC